CTGGGGATAGAACTCGTGCTGCAGTAGTTGCAGATAGCTTCATAGTGCTGTGCTTTAATCCTTTGTGCCACCAGGGAGCCCCCAAGATTTATTCATTTATTTATGCGTTCGAGAGTTGGTTGTAGGCCAGAAGTGCATGTGGGGTGGGGAGGGGGTGTGACAGTGTGGGGAGTAGAACAGGCGGATCAAGTGAAATACACTGATGAGGGGAGCAGCAGGTAGGACAGGAGTGGTCTGCTGTGCCATGTGGGTCAGCTCCCTAGCTGGTGCTGCAGTGTCTGTGGATAGCTTCATAGTGCTGAGACTTAACCCCTTGGGCCACCAGTGAACCCCTCTTAGGGAAATTTTTCTTATCTGTCTATCTATCTATTTATCTATCTATCTATCTATCTTCAATAGTTTGTTTTTCCATTATTTTGTGCATTTTTCCACCTCAGTTGTAATATTCTGGGGCTTCCCATTACCAAATCACCCATGTGCTATCTGGAAATTATTTTTTGCATAGTACTCCATCATCTTTTTGTGCAAATGCATCATGAAGGTTGTTTCTATAATTGTCAAAACAACCAAAACAGCTCTATCTGGTACTCATGCAATGGTCAATATAAATGTAAACATGGCATTTGAAAACCCACTGTAGTGTTTTGGTGTGAATGATCCAAAAGATGTAGACCATAGCTAGGGTTATTTTTAAATTATTCACCCAAAAATCTAAAATTTAAAATTCCTCAGCCAAATGAGAGTGACTGAGAATGTTTCTGAAAATTAGCAGATCCTGGAAGTCCAATATAAAAAATAAGGAATATTCTAGAGATAAATGGTGAATTGGAGACTGGTTATTTGGAAATCTTTTGGCTCAGAATATGGTGATTTCCTTCAGTGTAGTCTCAATTGACTAAAGTGCAGTAAAGCAGTGACAAAAGTGAAAAGGAAAGCATATCATGGCAACCATCCCAAGCCAGCCAAGTTCATGGTTGATTCTAACAAACAGAGAAAGAATCTTGGAGCCTTCAGTATATCTGACATGTCTTTAATGCTGCAACAGGGGACTGGATAGGCAGGCAACAACCGAGCCGCGTAACCTGCTGCCCTTCTCTGCAGTCTCCCACTTCATGGTCCTAGCTCCATAATTACAGGAGCTCTTGCTTCTAAATGCTTTTTTTTTTTT